CGTGTTTCCGCTTGTCTGCGATTATTATTATTATTATCTGGAATATTGTAAGTCTTTAGGTAAAGGTTTATCAGCTGCATTTGAGAAATGCGCCATAAAATATTGAAAAATGCGGCAGGCGAAATAAATTGCGAGCGCTTAAAAGTATTTTCCTGTTAATCAACTTTGGAAAACGAAGAAAAAGAAAAGGAAAAAAACCCAAAATAAAAGAAAATACATAATGTACGACAGGCAGGCGGCAAGTGCGCAAAAATCACCAGAGACCAATAGCCAAATGGCGACTTTAGCCGCTTTTGCTCTTAGCCCAGAAGTGAATGTTGTTGAACTTTTACCACGAAATACACTTGGGAAAAAAACAAAAACTTAAATAATAAAACATATATATATATATATTTATATGAAAATTGATTGTTTGCTGCGACTGAAAAAAACAACAAATGTGTGCGGCTTATCTATGGGGGCGCACCTCTACATGGACGCTAATCGGACGAGTTCAAAAACCCTACTCGGAACGGCAAACGCTTGCGGTACCTAGGCAAAAACCACTTTCGATAACGATAACCCAATCGAACTGAACAGAACGTGCTCTGACTTACTAGCACTGGGTATAGGTACATATAGTATGCGATTAAGCACTCGCCTTATTTATGTGTTTTCTTTAATTTTCATTTTGTTCTACTCTTATGGTAAGGTAGTACGTCAATGCTAACTAGAAATTCATTCATTGCTCTAATCAGGCGCAGCCTTATTATGTCTATACTATATATACATATATACTCTTGTTCATTGTGGGTTGTTGTTTCCACTAGCGCAGCTGCCGCACAGATAAGCACAAGCCTAGAGAATTGGGTCGCAGTTGCTATAAAGCAGTTAGGCATTTATTATTTTCTGTTTTTTTGTTTTTTTTGTTTTATTTTTTCTGCTTAAACATTTTGTTTTTGTGGCATCGTTAATAAATTTTGGTTTGTTTCTGCTTTATCTTTTTGATTCTGCAAGCAGAAATGTGTTTAGACTGACCTCAAAACAAGAAGGAAAAAAAAAAAAAAAAAAGCATGTCGTTTGTTGTTATTTTTGTTTACGCGTCGCCACAGGCGACAGGTGCGTCTTTATATATATTATCATATATAGTATTTATATATAAATATTTCCATGCTGACGGCGGCATTTTGTCAAGTTTTTAGCGGCCAGCAATTCGTTTGAACATGTCACTTTAAAAGCTTGTTGGCCCCGCAACAGGCCAGCCCAGCCCGGCCCAGCCCATCTCGGCCCAGTGCCATTCTTTAGAGCCAATTATGTGCGCTATTATGGCCAAATTCTCGTGTCACTCAATGCATGAAACGTTCGTGAAATACTTTCACAAATTAGCGGTGTCTGTGCCCGAGATACACACACACACAGACACACACACGTACATATCAAGATCTTATATCTTATATGTACATACATACATATATATTTTTACTTTGACTTGATTATTCTATTAGTGCGCTTGTCACAGCTCCTCGTGTCGCCATCTCTGTCGCCGTCTCTGTCTGTCGCAGTCTGTCGGATTGGCGCCCACCTACGTTGCTTTATAATTATAGCAAAAGGCTACTGTCGCCTGCAATTAGCGTTGCCGGACCTGCTGGACGCTCAATGCGTTTTCTCTCGCTCTCGCACACTGTCAGCAACGTTTAGCTTGATTTGTGCTTTGAAGCGGCTGTGTGTGTGGTCTGCTGCTGCTGCATGGCATACAGTTTCCGGCAAGATTTTTTTGGCTGATTTTACAAGGCACGCCTTTTGGCTTGATAACAAGCCAACCGCCGATAAGCAGCAACTGCTGCAAATACATACGTACAGGGCATTAACGTGCACGTGTGTGTGTGTGTGTGTGTGTGTGTGTGTGTGTGTGTGAGTGTGTGTGTGTGCATTTACTGAGCACAGCTCGTGTGTCAGTGACATCATTGTAAGCTCAGAATTTGTGTGTGGAATGCTGGCTTAAGGTACAGGCGACGCTCTTAATTGGCTGCCATGAGCCGTAGAATTCTTTTGAAATTTTGTTAATTAGGCAAACAAACTGACAAACTACACACACACACATACATGCACACAAATGTGTAGCGAATTTCGGCGGCTTTCAAGCTGTTTTTCGGCCTTAGCATTCGTACTTTGAGCTCTTGTAGGAGCCCTGCCAGAGAGAGAGAGAGAGAGAGAGAGATAGATAGGCGCACGTGTGTGAGGCTAATCTAAAAGCGCAAAGGTTAAACGCACTGAATCTCTTGTGCTCAATGGAATATACTCTTCATTTGAACGAATCAATTTCCAGGTCAGCCTCAAGTGCATCCTTAGCTCTCCAGCCAGGCACTTGAGTCATCAGAGATGATGTTCCACTCGGTGCCAGGGCATCTTTGTGTGACCATTATTAACGAAAGGTAGCTACAATTGGCATTTCCGCTCGCACAGTAAAAAAAAAAAGTGAATAAGATTCTGTGTGACGCATGCAATAATACTGTAGCTCACCTTTTGTAAAACGGTGTACAGTTATTTGTGCGCTGTATGGCTGCCATTTTATTTTACATTTAATTGATAACAATAAAAATAACAACCGCGCTTGTGCGACAACAAAGCGTGTTCATAATGTCCACACTGTACTTAAACACTTAAACAGAGGTGGGCGTATTTACTCTTTGCTCTTTCCACACACTGCTGCGGCACATGCACATACCACACATGCATACATATGCATACATGTGGAGCGACAGAGAGAGCAAGAGCGTAACTTCACGCCGTGACGAGGCGATAGCAATAGCGATAACGAGTTTTGCTTTATGTGTGTGCGAGCGCAACAGGTAGACGTAGCCGTAGCCATATTGGAGAGCATGTTAAAACTCGTTCGCTTTTTTGTTTTTTTTTTTTTCTTTGGTTTGTTTTGTTCGTATGCTCGCTCGCTCGCTCTCGCACCTGCAAATGGCGACTGCTCTGACTGTGGTGACGTCAGCGCACAAATCAGATTTATATCAGCATTTAAGAGAACAGGTAAAACAACATGTCTTAGCCCTCCCTTCCTAACTCATAACCAGCGGAAGCGGAAATTTATGTTGCTGCTCTTCCGCTCCATCAGCCGACGCCAGCCGGCGCTCACATTTCACTCAAAGCGAAAATCCAATTGTAGTTTAAAGTTTTTCACTTTAGAAAAACAAAACAAATTTTCCCCAATGATGTTGTTGTTGTTTTTTAATGAGCAAACGGCTGTTAAATAAACAAATTAGGCCTAAAAACTGGCCGCGCATAATTATTGGGCGTATTTTGTGTTTTTTTTTCTTCCACTTGCTATACAAATAAACACATTGTCACCGTTAATGTACAAACTAATTAGACTGGAGAGAAGCCGCTAGCCGAGGCCCATTTATATTGCTATTTTGATGACCCTGGGCTGCTGTATACACCCCCTCCCCCTACTTCCCTTGTTACTATAAGCTTGTGATCTCATGTCAAGAGCTCGTTTTTAAATTAGTTATGTGTTGAAATGACTAATGGCTGGTCACACTAAAAGATATGCACGCGTACACACATACACACATACATACATATGCATGTACGTATGTTAATTGAATTCATAGAAAGCTGCTGCTGAGTAACCTATCAAAGTCCAAGCCACGGCAAGCGCACTCTCTTACTTTGCAAAGCCAGAGAATACGCGTCATGCAAGTCAAGGTTCAGCAAAAACAAAGAGCGTAACAGTGCCTGTTACAGATGTATGTATGTACATATGAATGTGTGCGAATGTGTGCATACAACAGGCAGATTTTAAAGCGTATTGAGCAGACATATTGAAAATTGATCGCTGATAAAAAAGTGCAGCAACGGCACCGCACCAACGACAATGTCATGAACTTTACAACAATAACAGTCTGGCGTGTTTTATATTTATTTATAAAGGGAAACAAATAGCTGAGGTGAGCTGCACTGCAGCAGCAGAGAGTTCAACGGCAGCACGTAAACAACCGCATAGGCAGGGTGTCGCGGGGAAGGGTGGGACGGTGGCCTGCAACACGTGTTGCCATATGTTGGCCGAGTGAAAGTGCCGCAAATCTTTCAGCGCACTGGCTAAGTGGAGCCCCTTGCGCCCAAACCTGTCAGTCAGGCGGCTTGTGCTTTCATTGTGCACCTTTTCCAACACGGGCAACAGCAACAACAACAACAACAACAACAACAAAGTTGCATTTGATGCGTTCAATTTGTTGCCAAACAAATCAAAGACAAACAAACGCATTTCGTTTTGATTAGCATCAGCTGCTGAAACGATACGATTTGATTTGGTTTAGGTTTTAATTCTTTTTTCCGTTAGCTTTTTTGTTTATTTCTTCACTTGCCGGCGTTTGTTGTTGTTTATGTTTCCATTTCTTATTGACGCTTTGTCGCAATATATCCCATTGAAGTTTTGTTTTAATTTATTTTCCATCATACCAAACTCGACGTGCACTCGGCACACTCACTACAATGTGCGTGTATGGACTACTTTTAATGTTGTTTTTTTTTTTTTTTTGCTTATCTTCTTTGCTTTGCCTACGCTTTCATTATTACACACATGCGTACATGTTTCAATGACAGTTGCAAGCTGACTGCTATTTCACCTCAATTGGCACTGTCCTTTTGCCGTTGCTTCAGTCTGTTTCTGTCTGTTGTAGTTACAATTTCGTGATTCGCGCAGTGCGCATATCGCTTGATTTTTTAATTAAGTCTGTTTTTTTTTTTTTTTTGTATCAGTTTTGAGTTTTATACATTTAATCAGCTAAACTCTATTAATCTGCTTGTTAAACGCAGCAACGCCACAAAAAATAACAGATTGTTGGTGCTTCTGCGTTTTTTTCTGCTTTGCGGTTTCGGTTTTGCTTTGCGGGCTTTGAAACAAATAAAAAACCGTTAGAATTCGAACGGCGCAGCAAAACAAATAAATACACACGATTTGTTGTTTTAAACAACTTTTATTACCTGTGCGTCGGTCTTGTGTGCGTGTGCGTGTGTGCGTGTGCGTGTGTGCGTTACGTTTTGCGAATGTATGCGTAACGAGTCTCAAAATAAAAAGTAGGCACAACAAAAGCTACAACAACAACTACAGCAACAACAACAATGTCAGCACTTGAGCTATTGACGTGCAGATTGAATGAGATGCTGAAGGAGCGCCAACAAGCACAAGTGAGCGTCAGCGTGAGCGAGAGCGAGAGAGTGCACAACAGCGTAATGGACAAAAGCTGCACTGTATATAATTGCATTTATGTCTTATTTGAAATCAATTAAAAAAAACAAGGAATTCAAAAAAAGCATTCACTATATATTCTCCCGCCTCTCTCTTCTCTTTGCAGACCTGCAAAATATGCCACAAGGCCTTTGCGAACGTTTATCGCCTGCAGCGTCACATGATCAGCCACGACGAGTCGGCTTTGCTGCGCAAATTCAAATGCCTTCAGTGCGACAAGGCCTTCAAGTTCAAGCATCATCTGAAGGAGCATGTGCGGATCCATTCCGGCGAGAAGCCTTTTGGCTGCGACAACTGCGGCAAACGCTTCTCCCACTCGGGCAGCTTCTCCTCCCACATGACATCCAAGAAGTGCATCAGCATGGGCCTCAAGCTGAACAACAATCGCCAAATGCTCAAAACTCTGGACAAGAAGGCCAGCGCTGGACGCTCCCCAACAGATCAACAGCAGCAGCAGCAGCTGGCGGGCAAACGTTCCTGCAAGCTGCCGGAGCCGGTGCTGCCCAATCCGATGAATTACTTTGCTGGCGATGCCCAAGCTGCACCCGCAGCTGCCAATGCTCCCGCGCCCTTTTATCCCAACTACAGCGCGATGAATGCGGCCTTGTTGGCATTCCCCAATGCTTTTATGGCCGCTGCGCTGGATCCGCGCATGCATCCCTACAGCATACAGCGACTGCTGGAGCTGACGGCTGCCGGTCAGCAGCAGCGAGAAGAGCAGCAGGAGCGGCTGGAGCAGGAGCATAGAGAGGAGCAGCCGCTCTATGAGCCCAGCAAGGATGATGATGAGACGCCCGATGAGCCCAAGCTGGTTATGGATCTAGAGGAGTCGGAGCCCAAGCCAGCGGCCACGGCCGAGCTGCCCGCTGCGGAACCACTCGAAGATGCCACCGCCGTCAAGCAGGAGCCCAGTCGCGAGCCAACGCCACCAGACACGCCCAAGTCCATCAAACTGGAGCAGGAGGAGCTGGAGGCAGCGCCCGTGGATCAAACGCGTGCGCAGACACCCCAAGATCTGCGCTGCAGTCGCTGCGCCAAGCAATTCAATCATCCCACAGAGCTGGTGCAGCACGAGAAGGTGCTGTGCGGCCTCATTAAGGAGGAGCTGGAGCAGCACTACCATCAACAACAACAACAGCAACAACAACAACAGCAGCAGCAGCAACAACAACAGCCGAGCTTTGCTTTGCTACCCTCGGCAAGTGATGCGGACGAGGATGACGAGGAGGAGGAGGAGCCCCGTCAGGATTACCATGCAGGCAGCAGCGACAGCGGCGAGCGCAAAGTGCGCGTGCGCACCGCCATCAACGAGGAGCAGCAGCAGCAACTGAAACAGCATTACGCCCACAATGCGCGACCCAGTCGGGATGAGTTCCGGCTGATAGCCGCCCGTCTGCAGCTGGATGCGCGCGTCGTCCAGGTCTGGTTCCAGAACAATCGCTCACGCGAGCGCAAGCTGCAGAGCTATGCCAGCAGCGGAGAGCCCACGGCTGCCGCTCCAACATTGCCCCAGCCGCGCGCTGGCGAGGATCAGCCACTGGATCTGTCCGTTAAGCGCGATGCCTCGCCGCTGTACGGCCTGCCCCCTCAGCCGGCAGCTGCACAGCCCGCGCCCGCTGACTTTCAGGAGACCATGGCCATTAATCTGAGCCGCAAACTATCCAGCTCGGCATCCATGTCGCCGGCTTCGCTGTCGCCCTGCTCGGGCGCCTCCTCGTTGCAGCAATCGGCCGCAGCCGCCGCTGCTGCTGCAGCGCTTTATTTTGCGCCTCCCTCGCCGCCCGGCATGCACGAGGCAGGGCACACGTTGCCAACGCACAGCGCAGCGTCGCGTGGACAGGCGTTTCCCAGCCTGCCGCCATACATGCTGCCACGGCTGCCCATGGAGGCGCTCTTCCAGATGCGACCCGGCGGCGACTATGCGCCCAATCCGCTCATGAACAGTATTAAGATGCCCGACTATCGCGGCACCAGCCTCAGTCCCGGCGGCTCCGAGAAGCGTTCGTGGCGCGACGATGATTCGCGCATCTCGCACGAGGACGACTATGTGCTGGCGGGCGGCGGTCTGTTGCCGCCCAAACCGAAGCGCGCCAAGGCCGAGACGCACGGGCATGCCGGCGATCCGGATCTGCCCTTCGTTTGCGATCAGTGCGACAAGGCGTTCGCCAAGCAGAGCTCCCTGGCGCGTCACAAGTACGAGCATTCCGGTGAGTCAGTCATTTCAGGCGAGGCACAAGCAACCGCCGCTAATCCCAGTTCCTATTTGCAGGTCAGCGACCCTACCAGTGCATGGACTGCCCTAAGGCCTTTAAGCACAAGCATCATTTGACGGAGCACAAGCGTCTGCATTCCGGCGAGAAGCCGTTCCAGTGCTCCAAATGCCTGAAACGCTTCTCCCACTCGGGCAGCTATAGCCAGCACATGAACCACCGTTACTCCTACTGCAAGCCCTACAGGGAATAGGTAAGCGACACCTCAGTGCCGCCCACCTGCGTCACAGCTGCCAATGCTGCTGCTACGGGGACAGCGCGTGCGCGCCGCGGCCCCGTCGCCCACTCGGCCAGGATGAGCAACAATAACAACAACCACCTGCAGCACCATCCGCAGAACAGCAACTATCCGCATCAGCTGGCCGCCATGGCGGCGTTCCAACAACATCAGCAGCAACAACAACAGCAACATCACCACCAGCAGCAGCAGCGACTGCAGCAACGTCTGCCCTGCCAGCCACTTGGTTGGCCACCGTCCGTGCCTGGCGCTGGCGTCATGATGCCGCCACCGCCCAGCAACAATATGCAGCAGCGCAGCGCAGTGCCGCCGCAAGCAGCTCCACCAACAGCACCACCACCACCACCGCTGCTGTCCGGGCCGACAACAACTGGTGTGTACGGCCAAGGGCCGCCAGCACAGCCGCCGCCCTCCTTCTTTGCCAGTCCGCTGCACCATACAGCGTTAATGGCACCACCGCACCCGCTGCCCAATGAACGCTTCGCGGCGCCACTAACGACGCCCACGGGCGCACCGTCCCACGGCGGGCATGCGTTCAGTTTCTTCAATGCGAAAATGTTGTTGAACTGAGCAGAAATAACAGCAGCAGCAGCAACATTAACAGCAGCCACATAACATAACATAAGTCTAACAGTGAACTAACAGTGCACTTAAATGTTGTACTTAAAACAGACGCAAAAATCTCAAATTGTGCAGGAACACAAAACACACACAAGACAACAACAATACACAAAGAAACACGAATATAGAAAGGAACATTATAATTTTAATAATACTTATAATAATGGTTAAATACTCCAGATGCAACTGGCAGCCAACTCAGTAGAGCGCAGATGAAATATTTTTTATAGCCATATTTTGCCCGTGTCATTTTTTGTTGCCACAAAAGTAAAACGAAAAACGCAAAAATAGGAAAAACCAAAACAAACAAAATATGAAAAGAAAAGAAAACCTTTCGTTTGAGCGAATTTATTATTTTTAGTTTATCTTTTTGCATAATGTTTTTAGTATTTTAAATAATTTACGCTTAAGTTGAAATCAGTTTTTGTTTCATATATGAATACCGTATATATATATATATATATTTATATATTTTTATACATTCGAACTATTTACGTTTAGTTTTTTTAGGAGCGAAAAGAAAAACCCAGTACCAAGTGCTGCAAAATACTCAAAAGCTTATTTCTTTATCGGTTCGAACAGACACGTGCCACAATTATCATTTTATTAAATATTAACAACTATGCTTTATTATCGGAATAAATGTAAAACTTATTTGGTTTAATTATTAGCTTTAAAATGTAGTCAAACTGTGTAAATACACTACATTTTTGGACCACAACAACAAACAGCAAACGTTAACTTGACAATATTGTATTTAATGAAAGAAAATTAAAAAAAAAAAAAAAGAAAACAATGCCGAGCTAGATGCTCTCTCGCAAAAGTATTAAACATCAGCCAACTGTATTAAAGCCAGGGTTTAAAAAAAAAATACAAAACTTAATAAATTATGCCACACACCACACACACACACACACACACACGCCATAAACACACACAAACAAATGTAACTTATGTTAATGAAAACCCACCGCTTGCTGCGCGTTTCAAGTTCATACTTAAAAGAAAATGTTTTATTCTAAAATACACAGCTATTTTTATTTGTTTATTTTGTATGAAAGTTGAAATATTTATGTAACATAATAACTACACGATAATCGAAAGAGAAGAAGTATATCTAAAGGAGACACCTATACGATCATTCCATTTAGCTAGAGTTGCGCTCGAAGAAGGTGCCCCGCCCCATGCCACCTGCGACATGCCACGTGCCACATGCCACATGCCACATGCATTTAAATGATGAACCTTCGGCTACTTGAGCGAAAAAGTAAAACTCGATGTTTTGTAAATGTAATATGCTTATGTAAGTGCTATGCTAGGTTGCGTAATTCGAGCACAAATTCATAAAAATTAACATTTAATACAAATATTTAATATATATACACAAACTACACACAAAAACCTAAAGCTAAAGCGCAAAACAACAACTTAATTTGGCCTTATTAAACATTATTTAACAATTAATTAATCACAAACAAAAAAATTTATATATATAAGCTAAAAACGTTTACAAAAACCAAAAACAAACATTTAAATTTAGTAAGTTAACGAAAAAAAAAAAAACAAACAAAAACAAATACTTTTGGAAAAGTCTCTAAAGAAAACTATTAGCAAATTTCAATGTGCGTATTGATGTAAAGAAAATCCTTCTCCTCAGAAAAACAAAAAAAAAGAAAACAAAGAAAAGAAAAAAACTATTAACATTAACTATTGAAATGTTTACAAGGACAATAAATTTCTAAATAATTAGAATGCTTTCAAATTTTTGCTCCAAATTAATTCAATTCAAATAATTTAATCGCATAGCCAAAAAATTAAATAAATAAATCAAACAACAGCAATAAAATACGAAAACAAGAAAATAAATAACAAGTTTAAAAACGCGAAAAAGGTTTCCAGAACAACGAAAATTGTTTTATTAATGTTTATTATTGTGCTATGTCTAAACAAAACCCACACGTAAATAATTAACAAACAATTTCTCAAATTTTCTTTTGCTTTTCCAAAACAACTAAAAAAAAAAAAACAACAAAAATATGCATTTATTACTTAATTAATTTTTATATTTGTATTTTAAAAAACAAAAACCCAACTTTATATATATGCAAATATATATTTTGTAAATTATTTCGCAAGAAAAAAAGCTAGAGAATCCAAATACACAAAAAATAAATATTATAAAAACTGCAATTCTTTCAACTAAATAAAAATAACAAAACATACAGCACTCGTTTAGCATAAATTATATAATTAATAAATATATGAATTAGACTAGTTAAACGTACAGACGCAATGTCTTTATAAATGTTAACTTACAAGAAAGAAGCGAATTAATTATAATTAAGCGCAAATATTTTAATTGTGATGCAGATGCCGGCGATAATATTTGCACTCTAGGGCCTTATATGAGATACACACACCAACACACACACACACACTGAAAGAAACACACCTGTTAGTTATTTAAATTAAGCCTAATTAAGGTGCATATAGTGCATACTATTAAGTTCCCAATCATTTAATTGTCCACCGCAGCCTCTGTTAAAGTTGTTCGCCAAACTTTTCATGTAAATAAGCGTGAGAAAATTGACCATATATACCATGATGATAGTTGGGATCGCATCTGACGAAGGTTTCGCTACAGAGTATGTGCTTGTATTATTTGTTTTATGTTTATACAAACATCTATGTTTAGTTATGCGTTGAGACACTGGCATCAAATGTTAATTGCTATACAAGTACACGTGAAATAAACACAACAGTTTAAATAACTTATATTTCAAATATTATGCATAAATGTATTTTAATCAAAATAAGCCAAAAGGATAAAACATTTTTGTCTTGATACATTTACAAAATTATTATAATTATTAAATTTACAATGTGAAAATAAAAAAAAAAAACAAATTATTAAAATTTAAAATATTCACCTCATTTTAATCATTGCAACAACTATTTCAATTTTGATTAACTGATGTCCCGGAAATATAAATTTCACTGCTCATTCTGCGTCAAGAACTGCTTAAACAATCGCTTTCAGGTGCGAATTCAATCATAAAAAGTATTCAAAAAATGTTTAAGGAAATTTAAAAATTGAAACTAAATGGCAAGCTAAATAATTCTCGAGTTCAAGCTGCGTCCGAGAAGATAGTTTAATTTCGGAAAAGGTCCAAAAGGTCAGCTTCGACAATTTTAGGATAACTATGCTAAATTTAAAATATTTCACAAAAAAAATTGGCAATAATTAATTATTAACTTTATGTAGTTGGCCCAGATGGAGGCTTTTTGAAAATCTTTTAAATAATGCGATCTTGTTAAGATTAAGATTACTTACCCAAATTTGAAGAGGATGGACTTAGAACTGAAAGAGAAGCTTAGCTCTATTAGAAGAATCAGTCAAATCATGACTTCAAAATATTGCCAAGATATTTTCCCAGATATATTCAACAAACTCAGCATTTACGAGCTTCTCGTCTTTTCGGCGTGCTCAAGTAATTTCCGAATGCCTAACTGGGAACCAGAGCATGTCGGGATCAGGTCCAGAGTCTTGCCAAACATATGAGTGGATGCTTAAGGCGCTACCCAAACAAGAAAAACGCAACAGAAGTTAAATTTGTTTACATATTTTGCTTTCCATTTATTAATTTGTTATTGTAAATCGATTGGCCAAGGCACGCGTAGTGTTATATTCTTCTTCTTTCCTTTCAGTAAAAACAATCTCGGGCCAATAAGAAAAAAAAAGTGTGAACAAATCGCATTTTACCAACGAGCTTACAACAAACAAAAAATGTTTTATGTACCTTTGCTTAGACATGAAAAATTACACTAAATTATTGTTAGCGAATTATAAACTAAAAAACATCTTAGCGCTAGAAATGTATTGCATATATAAAACTATCAATTAATTTTCTTTTACACGTTATATTTAATCTGTTTATAGATATTGATTTTTGTTGTTGTTTCTCTTTTCATTTCTTATAGAAGTTCTGTTGAATATTATAAAAAAAAAAAAACAATTTCATTTGGCATTCAACAAGTTCGTCTAACATTGCTATATATGCAGCTAGTTTTAATAATATTTAAATATATATATATAAATTTATGTATAGAATATGCATAGAGTCTACACGATAGATACATTTTAGTTTGTTCTTTTATATTATATTTTTTTTTTGGGGGGGAGGAGGGTTTTGGGGGGCGCTTAATACATTCAAAGATTGTAGAATGAGCAGTGATACAAAGTGATAGAAAGTTGAGTTTAGAGCGCGCCCGCGGGCATATTATTTAAGAGTAGAGTTGTATAGATTAGGCTTATAAGACCCGCTTATATCGCTAACTTGTTGCGATGCTGTGCTCTGGATCGGTTCTCGATGGATCCTCGCACAAAATAATTTGTTGTCAAGCTAAAGTTTCAAAGTTTCCGTCAATGGCCCCAACTTTCCAGCCTGCTGA